TGTTCTGGAACAGTGTTGTAAATACAACTTAACCACTGATTTCTAGTCGTGTCCTCTTTTGGAAGGCCAAACTAAATATTTTCGCTTTCGCAACGAAACACACAGCGTCTTCACAACATGGCCGCGGCGGTGGCAGCAACAATGAAGTTACGCCTTTTTTCTTTGTGTGAACATTTGGGCGGCGTTAAGCAAATCTTCCCACATCGTGACGTAGACATGTGGGGGCATGTTTGAACGAGGCGTTTTAGGAGGGCGTGGACGAGTCTTAACTTTTATAAAGAATATCTCTTTGGGTTTGAGACTTTAGTCTTTGCAACTTTAGGGATCTTATCTATTCACGAACAGCTTGTAACACTCCAAAGAGAAAGGAAAACTTGAAATCACATCAAATGACCCCTTTAAACAATACGTAATCTATTTGTGTTCTGTGAATTGATTACATTAATTTACTTTTTTTTTTTGGTTGAAATGTAATATCCTATACACTGGCTACAAGTAATATGCTGCAAGAGATTTCTTATTCACATTCTTAAGAAATCAACTGCCACCACTACAATGTAACTTCCTATTACCATGCTGCAGCTTTTTTAATCTTCATAAAAACCCATTTAGCTGCTTCTAATATCAAACTACTTGAGTTAGATAGTGGTTAGTCTGCATCTCAGACGACACACCCACAGACTGCAAACAGTTACTAAATCGAACAAAACTGGAAAGTACTTTCTCTATTTGGCAAGATCTAATATGTTTGGCTGGTTTTATCCATTTTTTTTTTAAATCAACCCTGTGTTTACAAGGTACTGCATTACTTTTTTCCATTTCATTTTTAAAGACATTCAATTCTGCATTCACTCTAAAACTTAAAATAGTTAGATTAGCCAACAGTGGATAATTTTCACACTATTAAAAGGGGTGGCAACCCTGATCCACTCTGTGATTGTTTAAATAATCACCACATAAATAGCAGCCTGTGCTGACTCGCAGGGGGAGGGTCACGGGGCGAGGCGGTCATCTCCTGTGTTCTTCACAAATTGATAAGGCACACAATGTGCAAAACACACATTAAACCGTTAACACTGGAGTCAATTAATTTCTCAAAGTACAACAAATAAGCCAATTGTATGTCTCAAAGCAGATGTGTAATACGTAGAACATCTGGATATTACACACATACTACTGTTCAGATGTTTGGGGTCGGTATCATTTTTTTAATCCAAGGCTACATTTATTTAAAAAAGAAAAACAGTAATATTGTAATATACTATTACTATTTTAATATATTAAAACACAAATATCAATATCAGTTTTGCTGCTTAATATTTTTTTAAAACGTGATACTTTTTTTTCAGGATTTTTAGCATTTATTTTAAAAGTACAGATGTTAATGGTAATATCATCTTGAGTGCTATGCAAATGAGGACATTTTAGCATGTTTTAGCGAGGGTGATACCGTAAAGAGTGTTTACTGCATCATTTATGACTTATGATTCTAGATGATTACTCTCTAAAGCCCTAGTTTCCATAGCATGACTCATTCCTGAGACGCATCGGCCACTTTGATTCCACTCCAGAAGCCTAGTGTAATTAATATTTTGTTGCAAAAGAGGGTCCCTCTGGAGGGTTGCCCACGCGCAATTAGTGGACTCATTCACCCAGCTATTATTATGGTCCTTTCTGCGACACCAAGCGAATGAATTTGCAGCCTCATAATTCACAGAAAACGGTTAAAATGCAACAGACAATAGCACTGCGTGGACTAAAGCAGGCTTATGCCTTCTCACTTCTAATAATACTGAGACAGCAGCAAATCTGAATATATCCATTTGTTTTCCTGGCATGAGTTTTCAGGCTTCATCCTTCTCCATGTTGGTACATTGACAATACATGTGGTGTAGATTCATTTAAAATAAATGTAAACTGTGATTATATAAACATAAGCAATTTTTGAGGTGGTCCTGCATAAAAAAAATATTTTCATTGCAACATTAAATGGAATGGCAGGTTTCAGCACATTTGCAGCTATAATCCTGATCTCTGCAAACCAGTGTAACACATAAGACAGCGGTGACCCGGTCTTTTACTTAGGTTTGGAATGGCCAGCACCCAACCGCCAAAGCTTCAGCCAGTCGGCAGCCCCCAGGCTCTGCCTTCCTCTCTGTGATGTTACAGTCTGCTAGAGAGCGTCAGGTTTCCTTGTAAAATCAGTAAAGCAAATACGACTGGTTACATTTCAACAGGTGGAACCTGGGTGCCTGAATGGACTCACTGTTCACGTTTTAATGAAATTTTTACCTATTCTATGAAAAAGAATGGCGAAGGCACAGTACATCACTTGTGCTGCATCGCAGAAGAATATAAAAACATAAGTCGGAAGGAAGCGTGCAAAAACAGTACAGAGAGAAAGAGAGATTGAACGCTTTCAGTTGCCAGTGCACACTAAATCAAAGCCTTGAAACTAGATATTGTCTCTGCACACCGATTCCATGGGGTTTACCCAAAATCCCCCTGGAAAAAAAGAAACACTGGAGTCATTTTAACACTCTTACTAAAGGAAGCTTGTTCTGTTAAGAAAAGCGAAGAAGGTACTATGTGTTTTCTGGCCAAGACACATGCTGATATTTAGCACGAGAGCATGATATAGGTGAAGTGAACCTTATCACGCACATTCTATTTCTCTGTGCAAGTCTATGAGACAAAACTCCTACATCTAACACTGAGAATTAGCAGGCTTACAGGTCATTTATATAAATGCTTCAGAAGACAGATATTTCAAGCCCAAAATTTGCAGTATAAAACATTTTGGTCAGCACAAATCATGTTTACTTCTGTCTCAAGTGAACCTGTATTTATTGTAGTCTGGGACTGGGTCATGTTTTCTTTTACCTTGTCTAGTTTTGTTCATTGTTTCTTCAGGATGGAGGAACCTGTCCATGCTGGCATCTAACTAATTTGTCTGAAATACCTTTACCTTACCTGGAAAATTGGATGTTGCATCAGCAACAAAATATATGGGGTTTCACTTCCTTTTTCAAGCCTATTTACCTTACTATCCCAATAATACACAATTATATAGTTAGTTAGATATTATTTGCATTCTGCATTTTCTTTTTCAGAACAGACCTGTGAACCATTTCTGGGTTGAGAACCAATTTCAATTAGTTATGCTACCTGAACCACTGTAGTTTTATAAAAAGACACTGCAAAACACTTCTTTATGGATGAAAAGAATAAGGTCGCTTAAGTTGACAATTTCTATACATAATCTATGAATTAGGGCTGTCAAAAAAAAATTCAAATTTCGAATATTCGTCGAATTTAAAATAAAAATCCACATTTGAATGCAAAAATGTTGCATTCGAATTTTAGGTGTGCGTTAAGGAGGCAGCCTTATCAGTGGCGCACGAGATGCGATGGCGATGTAAGTGTCGTTGCATTATAATGTTTTTGTTAGCCTATCCAGTTGAAGCCACTAGATGCGACGCTGCTGCGTTGTTCATTAAAAATATTGCGGAAAAAGAGAACATCCATGCGGAGATCAGAGAAGCCAAAAGGTTTTCTTCACCCTAACTGAAATTATGCATTTCAAATTCGAATATAATTCGAATTTTGATGATATTTTAGTACAAAACTCGAATTTAGTTTTTCAGCCATTTTGACAGCCCTACTATAAATAGCTATAAAACAAAAGTTCTAAGTTTAATAGATCCATGGATTTCTCTCTTATGTAGTAGATTTCTTGCATATAATCCCCTGAATGACAGGTGGCTGATTCAGATCGTAATTAAAGAGCAGAGCATCATCCTTTCACACAGATTCAGGTCAGTACACTGTATGCTTCAGACCTTTTGACCGGATGTGCCCACCAGGATCTGGGTCTCCACAGATTGTTGTTTCCTGTTTCTGTGACATTTCATGAACTGAGCTGAGGCGATAGTAAAAGCGAGCTCTAGAGACGGCAGGGTCTCCGTTCTCCCCTAATTGGCTCCCGAAATGTCTATAACAGTGCCTAAGCATAAAAGCGAGGTTTTTCCGTAGCTTCCTGCTCCCCTTCTGAGGAGACCTATAAATTCAGCCTTGTGAACTGTGATGTGAATACAGTGGCCTTAATACAAAAGAAGATCACTTTTTGCTAATGCCACATACACAAAAGAAATCAAAACTAGTAGAAGTACGAGTCTAGAATTATGAATCTATAGTTATCTGTAAATATCAGCATATTGCAAGATAAGGCAGTACATTTTTTAAAGATTTAAGTAAATAGTTATAAATAGTTCACATCAGTTGAATAAGTGTGCTTAATGAGTTCATGAGGCAAGATATTAATTTAAAAAAAGAAATGAACCTATTTAGGACTTACCATTTCCAACTGATCCATTAGTTTCACAAGAAACTTTCGGCACTCTGGAGTTTTGCTATCTAGTTTCATTCCTGTCTGCATGGCGTAAAGTCGACCTGAAACACATTAGACATGAGAGGAGCATTTTACTTTCAATGTTTAATCACTGCACTGATGTCATGTTGGCATTCAGTATACAGTAGTCAAATGTCTAGACATGCCTAACTGGATATATGTTTTTCATGACCTTATAGCTTATGCTAAAATGGCTGAAATTAACGTCTTTTGTAAGTTGTAGAAGTTTCTTTACAAAACAAACAAAGTTTTTTTTTTCTTTAGTTGGAATGAAGTGAAGAAAACGAAGCCAGCATGTGTCCAGTATATCAGAGTTCCTTCATTACGGTCCAAGAAGAAGAGCATTCCAGACTACCTCATAAAGTTGGCTGAGAGAATGCCAAGAGTGTGCAAAGCTGTTATCAATGTGAAGTGTTATATTGAAGTAGTTTCATACTTCCATTTCTGTTATTTCAAAATTTTGCTGACTTAAAATGTGAAAAAAAAAAAAGTAAAAGTGTCCAAATGTTTGACTGTTAGTGTAAGGAAAATTATATTATAATGAGTTTGGAAGATGCAAAATAAAAAATAAAAACAGACATGATATAACCAAAATAAATAAAAATTTAAATAGTAATTAAAAGAATCGTGTTAAAGTTCTGACCCTTAGTTAACTTTCTCCACTATCCTCTAATTCCCTTTTCTTGCCAGTAAACTGCATTTTTTTGCTTTTATGTGTCTTTGGACCACTGGAGTCCAGTTGTCACTACTTAAGAGTTACAAAACATGGTCAGGCCTACACATCTGGCAAACGTTTTCAAGGTATTTTACTGGCCATATGTGACCAGTACAATGGAATTCTTACTAGCTACTAGTACAATATACAACAGTGGTACATGATACTAAGTGAGAAAGCTTAAAAAAAAGCCTTTGATGCACACTGTACGTGTCATTTGTGGATGCGCACTTTGAATACCAGAGCTACCACTGCAGGGCTAAAAACTCCAAAAATACAGACGTCGCTACTGTAAGAGCATAAAACTACTCAAATGCAGAATGAATTACATTCACCTCACACATCAATAAAGAGCATTAACCCAACAGCCTATTTTAATATTAATTAATAAAATTACAAGTCTTGATCAATCAATAGAACCTAATAGAAAAAGAATGTGATCTAAAAAGAAGAAGCGCAGCATGAAACAGGAAGCGCAGAGTTTGTTCATTAGAATTCGAGAAGGATCGCAAACAAGGTCTTCATTATGGGGTTCCTGGAAGAAGACAAGACAACAATCAATTGCTATTGCACAAGTTCAAAGTCATTAAGTTAAAAGGGAGTGTTAAGAGGGACATTTGGAAAAAGAAGGCAGCAAGCCCCGAGCATTTGGGATATGCTCCACTAATGAAGATAATATCCGGTCCCACCCACACTTTCACCAATTTAAAATCTCACCTAGGTGAACCTATGCTGTCCCAAAGGAAATTAAAAAGACGAGGGCTTACAAAGTATTGCCGGGCTTGCTATTGTATTTATGTGATGAAGAGGAATGAAACGATCCCCTCGCGGCTAAACATTGGCCAAAATCTTAATTCGCTAAACACTGAGATACATCAGGATGGACCTCTTACTTAATGTAACAAAACTAAATGTCACAACAATGAGAAAACTAAGATAGAAAATCTGTCATGAACTTATGAACTGTTTTTACTTGGTCCTTAAAATGGTATATATTTGCAAGAAGTGTTTTTTAATACAAATACTGTGAAGACATAATTGGTAGGCCTACATAATGTTACATAATTGGCGTAATTCATGATACAGAAATCTAACCTAATACATATGCTATAAAAAAATTAAAAGTCTGCATAGTATGCAAACATAAGGAAACTATAATGTGAATCATATTAAGTGAAATACATATTTGTTGTAAACACACTGAGGAAAAGGCTGGACACGTTTTCTTGATATTACAGTGCTTTTAGCAATATAAAATATCCAAACAAAATAACCAATTCCACATGCTTTGCTGAAGTGACATCCGTCAAGCCGAGACGGGACTTTGAATGGCACTTTGTATGCGAGGCAGACCTTGAAATCAGTCATCTAATTCAGATTTTAAACACATTAGCCAGTAAAACACAGTGAACTGGCAATTACAACTTCCTGAAGGAAACAAGGAAAAGCAAATATGCCCAGCTGTGAGTGCTCAGGCCAGGGCAAATACATCCTGCGTGTTAGTCCTCCTGGTGTCTGTATGCTGCTGGATAGATCCGTGCTCTCTGCCAAGAGGTAAGGTTCAAATTTCAGTAATTGAACTAGGTTTTGTTTTTTTTTTTTTCAGCAGGCAAGATTATAATGGTATAACTAGTTTTACAGAATTTAATTTCACAGAAAATATTTGTTTATTTTTTATAAATAAAGAACTGTATTTCTTAAGTCAATTATTAAAGTATTACATATGTTACATAGGCTGATTTTTTCATTTTAAGTATTTGGGATTTTAAGAACAAGTGGAATATGTGCGGTGCGGAGCCGGGTGCGAGTATAAACGAGCATTACGAGACAGGCTGCGTGAGTGCGGCAAGCATGAACGGCTCGTCCGTGACGCGGGATTCGCGCCGCGTGGGGCAGAGAGGAGCGAGTATGAGAAGCATTCACAGACACAGGCTGTGTGTGCGCTCTTCTGAATTGGGAATAGCCAACATGCATTATAAACTTATTTCAAATTAATCTGTTGGGGAGATAAAATGTGTAAGATAACGTTCACGTACTAACAAAAACATCTAAGAATGTATCTTTTATTCTCCAGTACTGAAAACAGAACCGATAAGGGAGCTTTTGATATGCGCTGTGACGCAGCTCTTGCAAATTAAATTTTTTGTTCGTTGTCTGTCATTTCGTAGCTTAAGTTGCATACGGTTTTCTTTAGTTTTAATCTGCCTAACTATCGATCTGACCCAGTAGACGCCATAATCCCACTCTGTCTCTCTCCCGTCCCGCTTTCCGGGTTTTTTTTATTTTATTTTTTTTAACATCGCAGGCTTTGCGATTAGGAAATCGCAACGTCTCAAATCGCGATTTCGATTAATCGCACAGCCCTACTACAAATGTTTTTGTTGAGAGAGAAAAACACTAGATAAACCTGAAACTGAATCAATTTTAAATGGTTTAGACTGCTATCAAATGCTAAAGTTTTATTTCAAACAAGAGACCTATTCGCATCTAATGAGACACGTAAGGTGCCTTAGTTAAAATAAGCATAGCTAAGTTAGTCAGAATAAGATGGGTTAAATAAACAGAGAGAAAAATTGAGAGAAAGCAACATGATCAGCTTAAAACAAAATACAAGAAAAACCAATAGTCTTGTGCAGTGAACAAGGAAAGGCCATAGGAAGCACATGAAATACCAGTCAAAATATTGCAAATTTATCAGCCATATCACCAATTGCATCCAAATATAATAAAGCTACAAACCAATACAGGGTAAGGTAATTGACTTATCAATCTGGACATACAGTATATTTCACAATTGTTAGCATCACAAAAGTTTTGTAAAAAGTACAAAAACCCTAAGAAACCATACAATGGGGTTTTTTTTTTTGGTCTTGTTTTGTTTTGTGATCCCAACCTAACAAACTCGGCCACCCTGCTTTCCAAGATATCGGCATCGGCTGTCAAAAAACCCATATCGATCGACCACTAATCTCAACCACATTTCTCATGAGAAACAAATAGTATGTTGCTCATGATTAGTGCCATCTCAGCTTGAGCGAGTCCCTGATCATTCATTATGCAGCAATAAATACGCTGTGCTTGGAAATGAATTTTGTTCAGGAAAACTCAACTTTTTAAGTCAACAACTTTTGTTGCGATCACTACAAAACAAGACAGAAAAAGAATTATATCTGGATTCTGCAACCAAGACTTTTAGGATCACACTAAAATTTATGCAAGACCTTTTCATTTCACTTAGTCCTCAAAAAATCCTCTCCATTTTGGAAGAAGACGAATAGGTTATAATGAGGTCACAATTCAAATGGTTATCAGTTAGATAACCTTGTGTGAACAAAATAATTGGAGGTTCAATAGACGGCAGCTGAAAGGGAAGGCTCATACAGTTTAGATATATTTTTGTCAAGTACTTCCCGTCCTTGTTTCTTTAAGAACATGCCATTTCCTCTTCCATGAGGCCCAATTTGCAGAGATCTGATGTCTATCAGAATAGATCATAGCATACGGTCACAAAGTCCTCCTTTGTAACTGGATTACGCCCATACTGCTCAACATCCAATTTTCCTCATCTGAAACAATGCAACACTCAGGCCATTCAGAGTTGTAAAGCATGAAAATAAAAACCATAATCTATTGTTTGCCTACGGGTGATTTTCTTTCTTTCTCTGTTTAAAAGCAAGCAAGTGAAATAAGGAGTGTGAATTAAAGTAAGAACAGGAGTTTCATTGAAAGCTGTCACAAACCTTATCAAGTGACTTAATATAGCTCTAGAAATTACTCGTTTTGGCTTAATTAAGTGGCCTAAATGTAAATTAATTTAGAAAGACTCTTATTGGTCATATGATTCCTTGCTACTTGCATGTGCCTGGGCCAAACACCAGATTGCACCCATTCAATGTCCACTGTACAACAAAGCACACTACAATATCTCAGATGCTCATTATGGCCAAGTAAGCATCAACGCAAGCTTGAAGTTTGACAGACGAAAGACAGTGTGACTCTTCAGACGAGGACATGCCCGAGTATTTCACTGACATCTGCAGTAAGAACCGAATTGTATATTCAGGAATGTCAGCCCGCGCACTCTTCTTTCCCTATTACAAGGATGTTATTATGTAGCTGCTGCTCAGCCTGAAGACTGGATAAGGTCCAGCGAGAAGGAAGGAAAACAATGTCAAAGAGGGCCTTTTCCATAGGTTTACAGCATGGTGCCAATCAGAGAACTGGAGCTCTGTCAAAGAGACAGAAGCCAGAGCAGAACCGCTTCTGAAGAGCATTCTGCTTCAAAAACTACGCACAACTAAAGACTGCCACACATTAATCTGGCTC